TTCACCAAAACAAATTCTTTGACCGATTCCCCTTCTGCTTGATTTCTCTGGTAGAAATCGAATCAGTTAGCCAGAGGAGTGCTCACTGGGGCGTAATGGTCCTGGAGAACTTCTTGCAGCTCAGACCAAGGCATCTGCTCGATATCGAGTGGTGCCACAAGGTCCATGGCCATCTCTAGGACCTCCGAGCCACAGTGCGCCAGGAAAAGTGCCCTCTTTCTGCTGTCGTCTAGATCGGTGAAGCCGCTTCCCGCCAGGAACTGCCTGAAGCGAACCATGAAGGACTTCCATTTCTCTAGGCTCGGGTTGAATGGAGCCATCGAGATTTGTGGTCCGGACATGGTTGTGACTTAGCTCAGTGCTTCAGCTCTTTTGGTCGAGATGGCAGTTGGGTCGCTGCTCTTCATCGGTTCTTCTCTAGTCCTTCGTCGCCAGTGTTAGATCGGCGCTGGAAAGAAACGCGACTCAGCTGCTGTCCGTTCAGCACTCTTTATTAGAACATAGTAATGCCGGCATAGACTGCCGGCAATGGCTCCTGAGCCTCCTTATATTCTGTTCGGGCCAGCCAGCTGGCCAATGACAGTTGTTCAAACTTCTCGCCGGTGGAAGTAACCAATCCCCCAGCAGATGTCCTTATAAGGACATAACACTAATGACACCACTTTTTTTTTTTTGACTTTCAAGATAATCCTATTCCACTGCTGGAATGGCCTGGGAATAGCCCAGATCTTAACCCAATTGAAAATCTATGGAGCCAGCTAAAGAAACTTGTTAGACAGAAGCAATCCAGCAAAAGCCCAGCATCTTGGTGGCCTGGAAACATTTCCCATCAGCTCAATCTGAATGGGTAAATGAGCGAGATGTCAGAGCTCCGAGGCAGCTGCAATTGTTTTATTCCAAATATCCTGGAATAATGGGACTGTTATGGGACTTAGTTATGGGACTGTAGATATGTTACTTGTTTATGTGATTTTCTATGTTCCCTTTTATCTGTTCTCTTTCTGGGACTAACGTCTCTTCTGCAGGAGGGCCGAATGTCAGCCTCCACTTCTATATTGCTTGCTTGCTACGGCTGCCATTGTGATGGGGAGGGGGGAGCTGTCTGGGTAGTTGGTCGCTCAAGTTGCCGGACAAGGTTAGGTCCCCTTTCGCCTGGGCTCTGGTAACTACTGGAGCAGCCAGCTGTTTTGAGGGGACAACCGGGCGAATCACTTCCGCCCGAGCAGTATTGTATTGAGGTAGCCTCGAAAGAGCATCTTGGTGGCCAGTTATTAAAGCAATCATTCAATTTTGGTTTCATGTGATAACAGCTGCAGAACTCAAAGACTTGGTTCGCTCCATGGGAAGACGTTGTAAGGCCGTAATTCATGCTAAAGGTTACCCAACTAAGTATTATCGGACATGGTGATCATTTTTGTATATCTCGTTTTTTCTACATGTTTCACTTTTCTTCTTTATACTGTAACTGCTATTCTAATAGCAAATCCTTCATCAAAGTTATTGCATTACATTCTTGATTAAATTATCTTTCTATTGATATAGAATTTTATGGTACTATTCCCCAAAAAAAGTGGTGTTATCCAACTCCCCAAAATGTTGGAAATGCAAGACTGGCTACGGAACATACTATCATCAATGGTAGACCTGCACGATGGCACAAAAATTCTGGAAGAAAATCAAAACTTGCATAGTAGAAATAACTCAGAATCTAATAGAGGGGAAACCGGAACAATTTCTGTTAGGAATTTCAATAGACAATTATACTAAAGAAATACAGTACCTTAGATTGCATATATTGACTGCAGCATGTATTGGAAGAAGGAAACACTACCAACGGAAGAGAATTTAATTAAAAAAAATTTAGAATGTGCAGAATTAGATAAATTAACTAAAGAAATTAAGGGGAAAGAAGAATCAAAGTATTATAAGGTTCGGAGTAGATGGTATGAATGGTTGAAACATAAGGAAATAAGTTAAATGAATGAAGAAAGGAGGGGGGAAATGTATATGAACCTTTGTTAGTAAAGAAGAAATAATATAAAGTAGAAAATGAACATCGAATAAGTTTATACTTAAATATTTGTAAATATTGATGTATAGAAAGAGCAGACTGCTGTGTATAGCTGAAAAGAAAAGTGATATTTTTCTTTTTTGTGTTATTTTTTGTTGTATGTATATGTTTGATTTTTAATGTGTTTTTAATGTGTTTAAAATAAAAAACTTTTTTAAAAAGTGGTGTTATTAGCTAGTTTTAGAAAATACACTTTTCCCAAAAGGTTTCCACAATTTTGGCCACTACTGTATAGGTAGAGCAAAAGCAGGAATCATACTTAACACATAGACAGATGCTGGCTTGACAGCGACAGTTGTGAGGTCTGCATGGCATGGCAATTAAGTGTTAGATAGCTAGCTTAATTATTGTACTCAGGGTCTGCTCATCAAGTGAAGGGCCACACGGCTCAGTTCTGGATCCTGAACTTTTTAATCTGTTGATTAATGAAGTGAATGAGAAGGTGGAGGACATGCTCATCAAAACTGCAGATGGCACAAAATTTAGGAGGGACAGCAAATGCCTTGGAATACTGAAATCCATCAAGAGAGAACAGAAGGGACAATAATAACAGGATTAAATTTACCAGAGACAAATGCAAAATTCTTCATTTTAGAAAAGGGCAACAAATGCATAGATACGGAGTGAAAGGATTTCTGGCTGGGCAAAAATACTTGTGAAAAAGTAGGCTGAAAAGATAATTATTTACAGATTTTTTTTAAAAAAAGAGCCATATGGTGTAGCTACAAAAAAAAAGAAGAAAAGGAAATGCAATTTTAGGCTTCAACGGAAACATAATTTGCAAAGTACAGGAAGGAATACTTCCTTTATAAAAAAAATTTTTCCCCCTACTGTGTCCCATTCTGGGTGCCAGAAAAAGCTACATCAGGTTCAAAAAAGGATAATAGAGACAGCCAGGGCCCTTAAAATAAAACGTCCTATGAAATTAAGGGCATGGAGACTAAAATATATGAAGAATGGTTGCAGGAATTCCGTATAGTTAGTCTAGAGAAAAGAAGGACTAGGGAGTGACATAGCAGTATCCAGGGGTGAAATCCAGCAGGTTCTAACAGGTTCTGGAGAACTGGTAGTGGAAATTTTGAGTAGTTTGGAGAACTGGCAAATACCACTTCTGGCTGGCCCCAGAGTGGGGTGGGAATGCGGATTTTGCAATATCCTTCCCCCAGGAGGGGAGGGAATGGAGATTTTGCAATATCCTTCCCCTGCCACCCCCACCAAGCCACGCCCACAGAACCGTTAGGGAAAAATTTTGGATTTCATCCCTGGCAGTATCCCAATATTTGAGGGGCTGCCACAGAGAAGAGAGGGCCGTTCTATTTTCCAAAGCACCAGAAGGCAAAACCAGAAACAATGGATGGATACTAATCAAGGAGAGAAACAACCTGGAATTAAGGAGAAACTTCCTAATAGTGAGAATAATTAGCCAGTGGAATGACTTCAGAAATTGTGGGTGCTCCAACACTGGAGGTTTTTAAAGAAGAGATTGGACATCCAGTTGTCTGAAATGGTATAGGGTGTGCTGCTTGAGCAGTGGGCTGGACTAGAAGACCTCCAAGGTCCCTTCCAGCTCTACTCCAATTGATTGATTGAAAAGACTTTGAAAGAATCGGTAATAACAGAATAACAGGTAATGTGTATGCAGGAACTGATCTCTATCACTCCTGAATGCACGATACAGAATAATGGATTACGAGCAGGGGTGGGATTCAGCCGGGTTGGACCGGTTCAAGCGAACCGGTAGTTCCGACAATCAGCTGGCTCCACCCACCCGCACCAGCCCTATCCTGTCCTATCCTGCCTTCTTTCTGGCTCAGCTGATTTGTGTGGCACAGCTGACTTCCGCGCCTCCGCTGTTCTAATTACTGGGGCTGCCTGAGAAGGTGAGCAGCTGAGCTTCAAATTGCGGTATTTTGAACGCTGCGCGCAAGTGAGTTAGGCATGCGTGCAAAGCATGCGCTCGCAGAACCGGGTGTTAAACCGGTTGTAGCCAGTGGTGAAATCCAATTTTTTTTACTACTGGTTCTATGGGCGTGGCTTGGTGGATGTGGCGTGGCTTGGTGGGTGTGGCTTGGTGGGCATGGCAGGGGAAGGATACTGTAAAATCTTCATTCCCATCCCACTCCAGGGGAAGGATACGGCAAAATCCCCATTCCCTCCCCACTCTGGGGCCAGCCAGAGGTGGTATTTGCCGGTTCTCTGAACTACTCAAAATTTCCGCTACCGGTTCTCCAAACTGCTCAAAATTTCCGCTACTGGTTCTCTGAACTACTCAAAATTTCTACTACCGGTTCTCCAAACTGCTCAAAATTTCCACTACTGGTTATCTGAACTGCTCAAAATTTCCACTGCTGGTTCTCTGAACTACTCAAAATTTCTGCTACCGGTTCTCTGAACTACTCAAAATTTCCACTACCGGTTCTCCAAACTGCTCAAAATTTCCACTATCGGTTCTCTGAACTACTCAAAATTTCCGCTACCGGTTCTCTGAACTACTCAAAATTTCTGCTACCAGTTCTCCAAACTGCTCAAAATTTCCACTATCGGTTCTCTGAACTACTCAAAATTTCTGCTACCAGTTCTCCAAACTGCTCAAAATTTCCGCTACCGGTTCTCCAGAACCTGTCAGAACCTGCTGGATTTCATCCCTGGTTGTAGCCCACCACTGATTACAAGAAAGAGGTTTCAACTGAATATTAGAAAAAAATTGGGTTACGGTATGAGGAGCTGGATGGTAGAATCTATTCCCAAGAGAAGTGTTGGCCAACTTTTCATGCAAAGTCTTCAGTCAGATGGTAGACAGCTGTCACTCAGTGCTGCTTCAGTGTTCAGTGCCTGACAGGTCTACAACTCAAGGCTTTGAGAGGCTGTCCCTTAAAATTAATATAAATCAATTTTTTTTAAAAAATTGAACCCTAACTGCGGACTTTACCTTTGTTGTCATGCCAGATACGCACTTTGCAGAGATCCCCGAGACTGAAGATGTCAGGAAAATAGAAAACATCCAGCTGGTTCTTTTCAAACTTGTTGGACTTGTTCGATTCCTTCAAAGCCAAGATCCCACTGTCCCCGTTCTCGCCCCAAATAATCATGGACACATTGGCATCGGTTCCAGCAGCTGCAGGGAAGCAGTGAGGGAAACGGCTATCAGAAGAAATCTATGGAGCTTCTCCATCATCCAGGTGGTCCCAGAGATGCTTTTTCAAAAGACAACTGGAAGTTCTTTTTTTAAAAAAGTTTATTTATTTATTTTTTTATTTTTTAACAAGCATATCAATGTGTGAATAGTGTGGCACTGGGTGTCATAGAATAGAATAGAATAGAGTAGAATAGAGTAGAGTAGAGTAGAGTAGAGTAGAGTAGAGTAGAGTAGAGTAGAGTAGAATAGAATAGAATAGAATAGAATAGAATAGAATAGAATAGAATAGAATTAGAATTCTTTATTGGCCAAGTGTGATTGGACACACAAGGAATTTGTCTTTGGTGCATACACTCTCAGTGTACATAAAAGAAAAGATACATTCGTCAAGAATCATAAGGTACAACACTTAATGATAGTCATAGGAAAACAGTCTTTATAAATCTTAAGGATACCAGCAACAAGGTTACAGTCATGCAGTCTTAAGTGGGAGGAGATGGGTGATAGGAACAATGAGAAGATTAATAGTAATGCAGACTCAGTAACTAGTTTGTCTAATATACATTCTAATATATACATAATAAATATATAAATATAATAATAAATATACATTCTAATACAAATAAAACTAGTAGAATTAATCATAGTTATTACATTCAATCAACTTCAATATATTTCTAATGATGATACACATTTATATTAAGTTGCAGTCTGTCATTATTCAATTATTCCATGCTTTCTCTTGTTACCGCTTTCATTTTATTATATAAAAGTGTATACACTAATATTCCCCCTTCTCTAATTTCTATCTCTTATTCTACCTTTTAATCATGTCATGTAATGGACATTTTCTTTCTATCTTACCTAACTTCTAGTCATGCCACCTACCTGAAAAAAAGGAAAGAAAGAGAGAGAAAAGGAAAAGGAAATCAGAACAGCAAAAAAGAGAAATCATCTATCCATCGTCTCTTGCCCGCTTCAATACTTCAATTGCTATGCTTTTTTTTTTTTTTTTGGCTTGCCTCCCATATTCCTCTCTTGGATCTTTATCTCTGTCTGCATCTGCTTCTTGGCTGTTCAATCTAGGTATACCTAGATTGAATAGTAACTGGAAGTTCTTAGGGTCCCCCCCCCCGCTTGAAATGAAGCTTCTTGGAATGAGAAGTGAAACCTTTTCAAAGGGGGAAAAAACCCCCCAAGAAAGTCCAGTTGCCTTTTGGAAAAGCATCTTTGGGGCATCAGAAGCTGTTCATGCTGGATGAGGGAGCTGCAAGTCAATAGATAGAAATAAATAGGATGGGATTCTCATTTAATGTAGAATCCACAAAGGTTTTAAGCACCGTCTAGTTGCCCATGGTGGACTGTCGATGTAATTCTTGTCTGTTAAGTAATGTTGAAGGCAACTCTGTCCATTTCAGCAGTAGATTGGACAAGTAAGTCTCCGTAAGAGAAGAAGATTCCCCAGCCAACCCTACATGAAACAGATATTGAGGGCCTTGCTAGCTACATGTGAATTTAGACCGGACAGCAGTTTTCCTCCTGGTTCAAGATCTGTCCAGTCTATTAGCTTCAGCAGAGGTGAAACTGAAAAAGCTGCTGTCCAAAGGCGGCAGATCACAATTAAGTTATCTTCCTATTGATTTTTTTCCCTGCTGCTCAGCAACATCCCTGGAGCAGCTTTACAGATATAAAGGATGATAGCAATCATCTATCCTCTGCCATTACAGGTCCATCCAACCAGAATTATGGTTTATGAATGTAAATCTCCTCCTCCTCCTCCTCTTCTCCTCCTTTTCCTCCTCCTCCTTCTGTTCTTGTTGTTCTTGTTGTTCTTCTCCTCCTCCTCCTCTTCTTCTCTTCCTCCTCCTCCTCCTCCTCTTCTTGTTCTTGTTCTCCTCCTCCTCCTCCCCTTCCCCCTCCTCCTCCTCCCCCTCCTCCTCCTCCTTCTCTTCTTCTTCTTCTTCTTCTTCTTCTTCTTCTTCTTCTTCTTCTTCCCACTGCAAAATCCCACTGTACAGTTTCATAAATTATTATGAAGTCCCCATTCCTATTTCCAGAAATAGCCGATCATTTGTTTCTGAGGAGCTGAGAAATAGGGCAGGAAGGGTACAGCTAAGAAAACAACGGCTTAACTTAAGTAAGCATCAGGAATGAATGGAGTTAAAAGCTGTGTTTGCAGAACATGGTTAATTAAGCAACAAATGAAACAACTTTCTGGATTCTTACAGGATCTAAAATTAAAGTAATTTTAACTGGAATGTTATAAAGGCACAAATTTAAACTAAAACTGGAACATTATAAATGCATTTGCTGAAAGTTACTATAGCCCAAGGAAGAAGAGGGGATTTAATGCTTGAGGAGAAAATCTCAGCCTTTTCAACCACTTTCAATTTTTATATCATTTGATAAGCACTGTCAATATTTGAGATTAATATCTGCCAATATTTCAGCTTGAGCTGGAGCAAAAAATATCCTCCAACCCATCCAGAGGACTTAAGAGAAAAATCCCTGAAGAATTTCAATCTCTCTCAGGTACTGAGATCTCCTCGAAAGCTTGGGTTTTAAATTGAGCCGAATTATTTAATAATTTTAAATTATTTTAATTGATGTTTGTCTTGTGCTTTTAATAGGCTGTACACCACCCTGAGTCCTTCGGGAGAAGGGCGGTATAGAAATAAAATTATTCTTATTCTTTATTCTTATATATCCTCAGTTTTATATCTGGTTTTGTCTAAAACAAAATTAGAACACTTGGAATAAAACCTAAGGTGCCCCCAAAGCATTTTGATAAATTTCTCAAGGGCTGTTTGCTTTTTCCAAAGATCATGCTGATTTTGCTTCTAAAAGCTAATACACAGGTAGTCCTTGACTGATGACCACAACTGAGTCCAAAATTTCTGTTTTTAAGTGAGACGGGAGTTTTGCCCTATTTTACGACCTTTCTTGCTACAGTTGTTAAGTGAAACACTGCAGTTGTTAATTCACATGGTTGTTAAGCGAAACTGGCTTCCCCTTGGACTTTGCACACCTGGCAGAACCAGATGTCCTGTAAGTCGAGGACTACCTGTAACCTGCAGTGGCAACAGAATTGTGGACGAGAGTCTTGAGTTCCCGGGTATTTTCAATATGAACGCACCTCCGATATTGCTGGTTTTCACCTGAATAACATACGTGGTGTCTTCCATCATCAGCTCGTCGTTGATCATCGCTGCAAGCTCACACTCGAGGGTCAGGTTGTCCCCCCACTGCTTGGAGAGCCAGTCGCTGTAGGTGAACGTGGCAACCTCTTGAGTGGACAAATTCTTCATTGTCACCTATGGAAAAACCCACCAAACCGAATGAATTCAGGCTACAGACGAAACTACGTAACCAAGATAATAAAGCAAGATGGAGGCTAAAACATATGAAGAACGGTTGCAGGAACTGGGTATGTCTAGTTATGTCTAATGAAAAGAAGGACTAGGGGAGACATGATAGCAGTGTTCCAGTATCTGAGGGGCGGCCACAAAGAAGAGGGAGTCAAGCTATTCTCCAAAACACCTGAAGGCAGGACAAGAAGCAACGGGTGGAAACTATTCAAGGAGAGAAGCGACTTAGAACTAAGGAGAAATTTCCTGACAGTGAGAACAATTAATCAGTGGAACAACTTGCCTCCTGAAGTTGTGAATGCTCCAACACTGGAAGTTTTTAAGAAGATGTTGGATGACCATTTGTCTGAAGTGGTGTAGGGATTCCTGCCTAAGCAGGGGGTTGGACTAGAAGACCTCCAAGGTCCCTTCCAACTCTGTTATTCTCTTCTGTTCTGTTTTGTGGCAAGGAAGTACTCTCTAAGAAAATGAGGATACAGGTACTCTTCAACTTAACAACCATTCATTTAGTGAACATTCAAAGTTACACTGAAAGCAGTGACTTATGACCGTTTTTCACACTTATGACCTTTGCAACATCCCCATGGTCATGTGATCAAAATTCAGATGCTTGTCAACTGGCATGTATTTATGACGGTTGCAGCTTCCTGGGATCACAAGATCACTTTTTGCGACCTTCTCACAAACAAAGTCAACGAGGAAGCCAGATTCCCTTAACAACCGTGGCAAGCAAGGCTGTAAAATGGGGTTAAATTCACTTAACAACCGTCTTGTTGGAAATTTTGGGCTCAATTGTGGTCGTAAATCAAGGACTACCTGTATTGTCATGGACCTGAAACCAGGAAAGCTCAGATTGGTGTTTCATGTATCTGCTGTCAGGTTTCGAGGTCGTCTCAAATAAATTGCATTTCAAATAAAGTCTTTGATGAAAAACTCCCATTTATTAAGCACGACATTCTAACTCCGACTCCATTGTAGCCAACACTGACTTCCTGACCCAAAACCCTCCCTTTCCTTTCCCCACTCCTCTGCACTCATTGGCCATCTTCCAAGTCACTCTACCCCTAATCTACTGCTCCAGCTCAAAGGAATTTCCCCCCTCCCATCCCATCTCCTAGGGGATATTATCTCCAGGGAAAATAAGTAGGTGAAAAGTCAAACGTCCCTTTCCAGACGCCTCCGCTTCTCCTTCTTATGTCAGCACTAGAGTAAATGCAGCTTGAAGTGCTGACATCTGCCTAGCAACCAGAATGATCAGGCCGAAGCTTTAATTGGCTTCCCTATCTTTACTTAGTACTGGTTGTGCACCATCTGTGCACTACCCCCACAATGACGTCCCTGTGTCTATGTTCTGATGTGCCCCCACTCGGAATTGATGTGAGGCCAGATCAGTTTTCACGCTACGCTTTCGAAACCTACCGAGATACAATTTGGAGTGTGGGTATTTTCATTGGTTTGGGAGGAGCTGTCGTACTCCAGAATCTCATGGGTATAGGTCAGTGATGGCGAACCTTTTTGCTGTCGCGTGCCAAAAGTGGGGGGAGAGCAGAGGGATCGTGCGTGTGCGTGCCCACATCCATAATTCAATGCCCATTCATACCCTGCCCTCCTGCGCCCGTGCGCACGCTTCCCCCGCACTCCCCCCGCTTTTGGCATGTGATGGCACAGTCGGCCCGTTTTTCACTCTCCCCAGGCTCCAGAGACTTTCTAGGAGCCTGGGGAGGGCAAAAATAGCCTTCCTCAACTCCCCTGGAGGCTCTCTGGAGGCCAGAAACAACCCATTTCCCGACTTCCGGTGGGCCCGGAAGGCCCGAAAATCAGCTGGCCGGCGGGCACATGTGTGCTGGAGCTGAGCTAGGGCAACGCTCATGTGCCCTCAGATATGGCTCCGCGTGCCACCTGTGGCACCCGTGCCATAGGTTCGCCATCACAGGTATAGGTCATGGATGAGGAACCAGTGGCCCGTTGCTGTTCTGAGCCGGCTCCCAAACACGACCTTTGTGGTTTATTTGTCAAACATATATAAGATAACAGGTAAAAGTATAAACATAATTTTAATACATGAAAAGAGTAAGAGTAAAAAGGAATATTAGGACAGGGTCGGTAGGCACGCAGGTGCACTTATGCACGCTTCTTACAGACCTCTTAGGAATGGGGTGAGGTCAACAGTAGTCATGTAAGGTCCCAAAATACACTTGAGTCACCAGAATGCCAAAGAGAGAGACTCAAGACGAGGCTTGCAAAAAAAGCAGATTTTATTTATGGCCAAAAACAAAATACTGGGTGAAACTATATCCAGAACATACAGATACAATGCATGCGAGGAGATAGCCACACCTTGGGGAAGGTATGGCGTCCTTTTATACCCTCAGAGACATCAGCTTAGTACCCAATTCTGGCCTCCTAATTTAGGTTTGTGTATTCCTTGTTGCCCTGCAAGAGGGAATAGAAACTTCCCAATTAGTTTTATCTTAAGCATTTCTTTGTTTACTCAATTGGCCACTTAGCCCCCTGGCTCTGGAACACAGGAATTTATCCAGATCAAACATAAATTAGGGCTGAGGTGTAAATTATCCCTTTGTTGATGGCTGTAGTTTCAACTGAGATACGTACCATGCTTTTAGATAGCACAGAAAAAAGATTGATATGAGTTCAGGTCAAATGGCAGGGACATATGTTTGACAAATACCAGATACATTACAGAGGCCTAATAACAGAATATTATATTACAGAATATTATTGTATCTCCTGTAACAAACAGAATGTTTGTTACAGGAGATACAAATATAAAGGCATAATATATGTGATACAAATACAAAGGCATATATGTATTACAGGAACCTAATGGTTACAGAATCTAGTATACCAGTATATCATATTCTAGTATTATTTATTATATCCTTATTATTGTTTCCCTTCAGTCAGTTTAAGGTTAAAGTTTTGGGGATTTGGGGAAGAAACTACAGAATCAGGTAGTGCATTCCAGGCATTGACCACTCTGTTACTGAAGTCATATTTTCTGCAATCGAGTTTGGAGCGGTTTACCTTGAGTTTGTATCTATTATTTGCTCGTGTATTGTTGTGGTTGAAGCTGAAGTAGTCATTGACAGGTAGGACATTGTGGCAGATAATTTTATGTACTATGCTTAGGTCAGACCAAAGTCGGCGTAGTTCTAAGTCGAGGACTACCTGTATTCTTAAGGCCCAAAATCAAGACTTCACTTAAGTTCTCCCTCCTGTTGATAAAATGCAGTCCTTTCTGGTCTTCCAGTTCCAAACTGCTTAAGATAATAATGTTCTCACTTCCCTTTGTCCTAGATGACAAGAACTTCATATGAAACGGTATGTAGTTGTGCAAGAACCCTCACGGTTTTACAATTAGAAGATATCTCTGCAGCAGTTCAAAGCTGTGTTCTCCTTACTCTTCTGGTATCTGTGTCCCTCTCAAGGGGGTTTTTGAAAGTCAGGATGTCAAGTTTCTGAAAGATGGAATTCACTTCAGTTCTCCCTCCCTCCTGTTCATGGTAATTTGAAAGCTTTGCAAGTTGACATCGGATATTTAAAGGTCAGATGGATAAAACAAGTATGAGCCATGGTGGCGCAGTGGTTAGAATGCAGTACTGCAGGCTGCTCCTGCTGACTGCCGGCTGCCTGGAATTTGACAGTTCAAATCTCACCAGGCTCAAGGTTGACTCAGCCTTCTATCCTTCTGAGATCGGTAAAATGAGGACCCAGGTTGTTGGGGGCAATAGGCTGACTCTGTCAACCGCTTAGAGAGGGCTGTAAAAGCACTGTGAAGCGGTATATAAGTCTAAGTGCTATATATTGCATCATCTTCTATATTTGAGGGGATGTCACAGAGAAGAGGGGGTTAACATATTCTCTGAAGCACTAGAAGGCAAGACAAGAAGGAATGGATGGAAACTAATCAAGAACAGAAGCAACCTAGAACTAAGGAGAAATTTCCTGAGAGTTAGAACAATGACCCAGTGGAACAGCTTGCCTCCAAAAGTTGTGGGTGCTCCATCAATGGAGGTTTTCAAGAAGAGATTGGACAACCATTTGTCTGAAATCTTATAGAGTTTTCTGCTTGAGCAGGGGGTTGGACTAGAACAGGAGTGTCAAACTCAAGGCCGGGGGTCAGATCTGGCCCGCGGGGTGCTTAGATCTGGGCAGCGGGGCTACCCTGGAAACAGCGAAGGACCGGCCTGCGGTGCCTCTGCCAGTAAAAACAGAGCTTGGGAGGGCTGCACATGGGCCTCCTAGGTTCTGTTTTTGGCTGCGACGGCCTCCTGCAGCCCTCTGCCAATGAAAGCAGAGCTCGGGGAGGCTCCATTTTCGCTGGCAGAGGGCTGCAGGAGGCATCACAGCCGAAAACAGAGCTTCAATGAGTGATGCCGAGGTGGCCACGCCCACCCTGGCCGTGCCCACCCTGGACACGCCCATCCCGGCCACATCAGGCCCCCAGGTGAAACACAACTCTGATGTGGCCCTCAATGAAATCAAGTTTGGACTAGAAGACCTCCAACGTCCCTTCTAACCAGTGGTGAGTTGCTCCCGGTTCTGTCCAGTTCTATAGAACCGGTAGTAAAACCGGCGGGAGGCTCCGCCCACTTGGCACGACGTCATCATTGGTGATTTGCACATATGCAGAAGAACAGGCACACACGAACAAAGCAAGCACGCGCGGGCGATCCCGCCGCGAACCGGTAGTAAAGGTAAGTGGAACCCAACCTGCTTCTAACTGTTATTCCATCGTATCAGGCTGGCACCACTGGACTTAAAATGGAAGAGACAGAAGGGCTGCTTACTTTTCCTTTCTACCTTCTGCAACTGTCTCCAGATTTCTTCCTTTCCCTCTTTTTATTGATCTCAGTGAATCAGATATAATTTAAGTGAGCTCCTGCACAGACATTTCCAGATATGAGAGAGAGAGAGAGAGAGAG